TCTCACTCACGCGGCTTTGAACTCCTGGACCTTCAGCAATCCCAAAACCCCGCCTCGGGCCTCCCAGATGCTAGGATTACAGGCCGTGAGCCCACCACGCCTGGCAACGCCATTCCCTTCTTACCCTACTTGAATCCACCAGCATGTCCTACGCCTGGGCCAAGACACTTCACGAGCGGAGGAGGAGTCAGAAACGCGACGCATATAGGCGTGCACAATGAGGAAACATAAAACCCTTGACTGGGCCATGATGTGTCGTGTCCTGCAGAGCAGGAAAAAGATCCAACAGAGAGAGGCCAAGAAGTTCACCCTCCAGACAGCTAGCTGTCAAGGAGCCTGGCTCAATTTGCAGAATGCTATTTCTTTATTGTGCGACTCCCAGACTCTGTATCACTGTGGAAAGTAAAAAACAGCAGGGCCTGTGATGCTCTGACAACAAGTTGCCAGTTTGGCCGATAGCTAAGAGCTGCCAGTATCTAGGGCATTAATTGGAACGCTCAGTGCGAGGCCGGCTGTGTAAGACAAGTAAGTGACAAAAGATAGCTAAGTCCAGAGGAGTGAGATTTAAATGAGGGTTGTACATCAGAATGCGCGTGCTATGCAGCCAGCAGCAACGGACTCGGTGAAGGTAGCTGTCTAACGGCGGTCCGTCGTGTCTAGTTGTTGGTGTTGTGGCTTTGCTCCCTACAGGAGATGCCTTGAGAAGAGCTCGAATACAGCAGCTTCGTTAATATTGCCAGATCCCCTGCCACAAAGAAAGCCAGACTCTGGGCGAATCGTAGAAAGATCACTTTCACATGAATGCTAAAACAGGGCCTCCTAAAGTGCATCTGAGCTAGAGCCCGGAGAAGATGGCGAGACGGGCGCGCGGTTAGTTACAGGGGCGGTTGCCTGTCCCAGGGCAAAGGCGAAGGCAGCAAAGCTGGGAAAGTGCAGAGGAGAACGCATGCATGGTCAGGATGCGTGTCTATAGCGCAAGCGGCACCGGGACGGAAACCGAGAAGGACAGAGCGTCAGAAGAGTCAGGACAGGGGTGGCGATGGGTTAGCGACACCTGGCATGGCAACAGCGTGAGGTGCGGACTGATGGGGTAGACGTGATGAACCCCTCAGCAAACATCCAACTTCTGCCGTCTGGAACCAACACCGAGCCGACTGTGAGGAGCCCGACGGCTGTTGAGCACTTGCGGACATATAAGTGGACGAGCGCGACCACTTGCATAAACAAACCACAACAGAGAGACGACCAGTGGGCCTCGTTCTCGGTTCCCACCCGGCCCGCAGGAGCCCTCTCCGGAACCAGCCAGAGCTCGGCACCAGCCCAAACCCTCGTCCGCTCACCTGGCGCCGGGTCCGGTCACCCCGCTGCAGTCGCTGGCTTTGTGGACAGATGGGGGCGGCGGATCCCGCCGGCTCGGCCGAACCCCGGCCCTTCTCTGTCTTGCGGGGATGACGTCGGCTGACTTTTCGCACCCAGCCTCCAGTTCTTCGCCGAGTAAAAGGCACACAAAGCCCAGTGACGCCGCGTCAGAGCTTGAAGATGCGAGGCGTGCAGAGCGAGCGCCCGACGGGCGCCCACGGGTACGCGGGGCTGTTAGCGAGAACGACCGTCGGCGTAGTCCACACGCGGGAGGGGCAGGGAGGCCCCTCACTGCTTCCCATGTCTGGCCGGGTAAAACCCGCGGCCACCCTCCAGGACCAACAGCCTCGCTGAGACAGAGCGGCGCGTGGGGGAGATGGAGCGTCACCAGCTAGACAACAGAATCCGCCCTCAACGGCCATGGCCGCGCAGAGCCCCCTGTCCTGGCGCGGATTGGCCCAGAGCTCGCGGCAGGCGCACGGGGCAATGCCTTCTGGGTACTGCAGTTTTTCCCCCCACACGGGGCCAGGTTTAGGGAAGTTTCTAAGCCTGTTTTCCTTCAGGTAAGTGCGTACGAGAACCAAGAGTCGCCTTAGGGCCGCCTTTTTTCAGAGGGCAGAGGTCGGACGAACCAAACCCTGCTTTATATGCTCAGGAAGTTCGAGGCA